TATATATATATATATATATATATATATATATATATATATATATATATATGGAGACGATGGTAAATGAAAATACAGACATCTATGGTAGACTTGATAAACACAAAAATATTTATTTATTAGATTCACCGATATTTCGGTTGTTCCTACAACCTTCTGCAGCGTGTAAGTGAAGACATAATCAAATATTATTCATTTATGTATTGAAATAATGCAATAACACTACAAGTAAATTACCGTTAGAGTGCGCCCTTTCCGGCCCTGTTTTGTCGGTAGACGTTCGTCTAGGCGTCAGGTACCATTTATATCCATTATTATTTGTCTCTTGTCGTATATTACAAAAACTGCTATCAAAATCGCAGTAATACAATACTGAAAGATAAAATCAATCTAGTGTAATTAAATCATATTATATCATTAATATAACGATACGTTGCATGAAATAACTTTGAAACATGGCAAAAATGCAAGTATACAAAAACTATATTAAATTGGTTGAGCATTTCACTTTAAAATGCTTTTAAATAATCGTTCAATTAGCAAACACTTTAAATCAAAAACGAATTTAGTTAATAGTATAACATAGGCCTATTCCCAAGTCTTCAAGTTACAAATTCTGTCCACGAATGTTCGTATATTTTTGTTAGGTTTAATGCAAATCTTCAAAGATTGGCACTTTAAAGAATTTTTATTGAAATTTAAATTACTATTTAAAAACAAAAAAAAATATTTGTATCATGCCTTTGAGAATGAGAAACATCTTTTCGACCATTTAATTTCCTATAAAAAGTATGAAATAAAGTTTATCTATATCTGTGATTTAGTGCGCCTTAAATTTCTGGTGATGGGGTGGGAAAATAGTATAGATTCATGTTAACATTTTTTAAGTGCCCTTGAGCACTGCATGTAAAACAAACTAATTTTTTTTCTATTAATAAATCAGTACATTTTCAAATAACTAAAAACCCGTTATGTACCTCACATCTTCATAAACTCACACGACACAACAAGTCATGCTGCCTGCACTGTTTTCCTTAAGCCATTATGCAAGATTGACAGGTCGTAATTTTCCTATCGCTTAAGCACATCTACAAAACACTAGTTTTGAAAGAAGACATGTCATTTAATCTTAAACTGAAATATACATAGACCTAATAAAAATACAACCGATTGTGTGTTAAAATTGTTGTAGTACATATACTTTGACTTGTTTTATCTTATTGTGTATTATTATGTAATAAATAAGATCAACTACCGGTACACAGTGTCCGCACGGCCACGCCCCTTTAATATTGTTTCTAGGTTCACATAAAACGACAGCAAACCTACGCATCTGTTGGACAACACGTGTTTACTGGGACACGTACTCAAGGCCCTTTTCTGATTGGTTAGTTGTTAAATTTGATTGACACTTCGGAAAGTTTCATTATCGTGTGTGCTATCGAATATTCCTGACAAATATTGAACTAAATTTATTTTTTAATTATATGTATGTTCATTCGCCATATGATAATTTCAAACCTACATTTCAAACCAACTTCAAAATAATTTTCATAACTTTACATTTCTTTCAATTCTAGACTGAAACAAACATCTAATATGTTATAAATTAAATTAAATACAACACTAATGGAAATCCCACATGTGTTGTGAATTTGAAATAAAGTCAAGAAATTATGATTATTGAGAAACTATGTATAGGCGTTCTTGCTGCATTAGTTGGTACAACAATTAACTATTTTCAGTAGCATTATTTTAAAATAATTAACTAATGATAACTATTACAAATATGATAGTAATTAATAATTATTATATAATGTAGGCCCTATAACGCTCTACAATGCGTACATAATATTTCTATGTATAATTTATTCTAAAACTTTGACATTTGTACTATTTTTTCACAAAACCCCTTTGTGGCCTAAACTTGCTTTATGCTATAATAAGTCAGGAAACTATTTCGATGGACAAAGGAAGGGAACTATATATGATGTGTCTGTGATAAATAATATTTAACTTCAAATCTATTTGCTTTATTTATAGTTGATATTTTGAGAACAAGTGTTTTCTGTATTTATTGAAGCTTTTAATGGTTCGGATGTGCCACGAAGCCATAGTGGTCTAGTGACTAAATCGTCTGCAACTCGGTCAGGAGACTTACATATACGTGTATATAATATACTATATATATATGATTATATATATATATATAAGCTGTTA